TAGAAGTCAGAGAGCTAATTCTGGATGCTCAGGTATGAAGCTTGCTTCTTTGGGTTCTGACTGCCAGCAGCCAGCATTTTGTAGTTAGTGAAAGCCTTGGCTCTAAGTAGCAACTAGGGACAGCAGCAGCCAGTGCCAACTAGTATTATAGTCCTAAGCCTTGGGTTTTGGGGCCCTCAGCATTTACATCAGTATCGCAGCTCTTTAGGCTTAGGTGTTGGGACCCTTGGTCTTCAAGGTTCAGTGGCTCTAGGAACTTTTCTAGTGACTGAAAGCTCTAGTGTTTTGTCCACTGCCTTCTTGACTTTCTGCCTCATGTTGCCTTCTTTCTTTGTTTCTGTTGCTTCTGCTCCCACTGCTTCTGACTACAGCAACCACTTTCGCTGCTTCACTGCTCCACTATCTCCTCTTCCTGTTACCAGCTCAGACTGTTAACACTATGAGACAAATCAGAAGTAGGCAAAGAAAAGATCATCCAGGAGAAGTCTTTTTTTGGGTCTGATGTTGCAATAACACAGGGGCAGTACAGAGAAATTAACTTCTGGTTGGCTTGAAAAGTGAGATGAACAGCCTGCTTAAACATCCAAGAGTGTGTATGCATGGGTGTGATATGCAAATGAAGGACTATATTCATACCAATCATAGCACAGCTTCTAGTATCTCCAATCACTGGCTTCTTGCTGACTTACTGAGATGGTATTTTCTTTCTTATCTTGAGAAAGAATAGCTGAAGGGTCATCTAAAAGTTTGCCCAGGCTTGTTTCCCCTGGGATGCTGCCTTCCAAGGCTGGAACAAGGTTTTTGAAGTAGCTGTGACTGGAATATAGTCTTTTGGAGCAGGAGTTGTGGCGGCCCTCAAAATTAAAGTCTTAGAATGTCTCTAAAGTGGATTCAGAACATCCAGGCTTCCAGCAGAACACTTAGGCCAATTATCAAAGAAAGGACTGACTGCTTCCTACTCCAGGCTGCCAGGTATAGGGAAGGATCTGTCCACTACTATCTGAAAAAAAATATTCTCATGCAAAGTTCTAATAATTCTATTATTTATTCTATTTTCATTAATCTTTTGCTAATATGCAGATAAGTGGATGTATTTATCTCTTAAATCTTGTATCACAGACATTATTCCCCTTCTTCATTTCCCAAAACATTTTATATACACGCACACACACACACACACACACACACACATATTGTAAAGATACTGTACAGAGGAGTTATAGTTACATGAGTAAGATAATGAGTACATTTCCTATGGAGCATTGTTACCCCTTCCTTTGTTTTTCCCCTACCATCCGTTCCCTTCCCACCTCCTGACTCCTCCCTCCTCCTTCCCCAAACATTTTATAGACAAAAGAAAAATATATACCTTTTGTTTTGGTCATCATGTCACAGGATTCAGTTGACCAGGTGAGGGTGGGCAGAAAGAATTCAAGGGATACAGAGGAGATGCAGAGGAGACTTAATTATTAATATAAACAGAGTGAATGCAGAGCAAAAGTGCTCTATCCAGAGGGGAGGGCAGTCAGACTCAAGAAGGAGCAATTGTGCTGAGGGTCTCAAGACCTCCAGCTTTTCTGAAGTCTGCAGGCAGGGAGCAGATGAATCCTGAGAAACTAGGTAGGGTGTCCTTAACTTATGAGACTAGGTTATGCCGTCATGGGGGTTGAGGGAAGGATGTCTTCCTTTCTTGGCTTTGGACGGTCAGACCAGAGCTGTCATTTTCTGTGAGCTATGGGTCAGCAAGATGCTGTTGTAGGCCAGAATTTATTCTACTAAGGTCAGCAGTCCAAGAGGCTATTCCCTATCAACATCTTGTTCAGTTTTCCTAACTTGTTGCCTACAAGAACTGCCTTTTCTCTTTCTACTTAAAACCTAGTTGTGATGATGGGTAAAGATTGTTGAGGTGTAAATAAGTTTTCTGTTGAGCAATGTAGATGGCAGGGTAAAGTTAACAGAACAGCCAGCTCTAGCCTTCACTTCTAGGTAGGCGCAGGGCGAGTTGTGATCTGAATATTTGTGATATTCGCTGCCAGTTCATAGGTAGACATCCTAATCCCTAAGGATTAGGCCCTTGATGAACAGTTCTACCAACCCTCTACTCATGGGGCCAGACATGTCTCCTAAAGGAAGTCCAGTACCATTACAAATAAGGGGGAAATGAAAATGTTATGGTTTGAGTATCCCCTATGGGCTCGTGCATGTATTGGGAACATGTACTGCCAGTTAATGTGTTTGGGAAAATGATTGGATTCTGAGGGCTTGACTTGGTCAATTCTTATTGGATTCATAATTTGATGGTATTATTGGGAGGATGGGGAAAAGTAGAAAGTGGAGCCTATTTAGAGAAAGCTCACTGAGAGCTTGCTTTGGAAGGATGTATTGGAGACCTGACCTTTTCTATACTTCTGTTTCTGTTTGCTGGCAGCCCAGAAGTGAGTAGCTCCTCTACATGCTCCCACAACTATACCACTATGGTGCCACTATGACCACAGTAATGGAGCCAGTGATCACAGACTGAGACTGTGGTTACTTTCCTCTCTTTAAGCTTGTCTCTCAACTATTTGTCACAGTGACACAAAGCTGACTGATACAGAAGACCAGCCTAATTGTGCAGTTACCTTGAATAGACTGTGAGAGAAATGGTAGGTGAAAGGTACCTAAAGCAACAAAAGAAAACTACAGGAGTAAAATGAAAACAAGAAATCACTCGGTGGTGATTTCAGCTATTTCTAGCATGTTCTATTGAGATGGTACATGTCTTAAACTATGACATGATGAATGAGGAGGAAGTAGTCAACTTCATAAAAGCTTGCCTTGGTAGGACAAGTTAGTATATAACTTCCTAGTTCAAAGGTTTGCCCTCCTAAATATTTACTGTGAGAATTTCTCTGGCTCCCATCCAATGTGTGGAAATGGCAAGTAAGTCATGGTACGGCAAAGCAAGGTATAGCTAAGGTATTTGGTGTAGACAGGAATTTCTGTCGACATAGATTTGAGAACTGGCGATAGACATGATCACCTTCCAGAAAATCCTGTTGTTCTCCATGATTCTGTTACTCTACCTATGTTATTGTGTGCTTTTCTCCAAAGTCTATAATTTAAAGGATGAAATGAAGGATGATCTCATGTACATTTGTCTTTAAACACCCTCATAATCTCTTCAGATGTTTGGCTATTACTATCCTATGCTACCTCGTTGAATACTGGTGGCTCATGCCTATAATCCTAGTAACTTGGCACTGAGATCAGGAAGAGCCTAGCTTCAGGCCAGCCCAGGCAAAACAGTTCTTTGAACAGTAGATGTGTGCAGTGTTGTACATCTGTCATCCTGCCTATGCGTGGGAAGCCACAGGAGAATTGCAGTGTCAGGTCAGCCCAGGTAGAGAAGTCTGCAAGATTCCAACTCAGCAATAAGTAGCTGGGTGTGGTAGCACACACTTGTCATATTAGTTATAAAGGAGAGTGAACAATAGGAGGATGGCAGTCCAAGTGTGTGCTCAGCAGGAAATAAGACCCTATCTCAAAAATAAGCAATGAATAGAAGGCCTAGAGTGGTGGCTCAATGGTAGAACATCAGCCTAGAATGCACAAGGCCCTGAGTTCAAACCTGAGTACTGCCAAGAATAAGAGAAACTATATTTTTTAAGAAAGATTATGAGTGGGAATTTTAAAGTGCTGAATTGTCCTTAGAAGGACCAGAATTGTATGGTTTACTTTTATAATAGAGCACATACTAGAAAGAGTCCTTTTTTTTGATGCAGGAATATGTCTAATTACTTCAAAGAATTTCTGTATCTGGAAATCATTGACTTATTTGAATTATTCTGTTTACACAAGTGTGTTGCCCTAGTGCTGCATTTTAGACTCTCTAATTTTGTGTGTAAGGATGTTAAGCAGGTGAAAATAAGGTGCAGAATGTTAGGTGCATATGCTGTTGCTTGTTGAAAGGGGGAAACCTTGGAACATTTGCTTGGTTTGGCTTGTATGGGTGTAAAGAAACTGCACAGACTCTCAACTTGGTGAAGGTTGTGGTGTGCACCTACTCAAGGACAGATCTAACAAGTCCCCTGCTTGCTGTTAGTCTTCATCCTGGGGTGCTCAAGAAATGAAAAACTGAGAAACTAAAACCAATCCTTATTAAGTGAAGTAAGCCAGGCCCAAAGAAATATAGGTCCCATGGTTTCCTTATTTGCAATAACTAGTATATATCTGAGACAAATAGAAACTGTCAGACAAGTTGATGTTAGGCGCAATGAACCCCAAGATAAGGATTCAAATGTTTTTTTTTCTTTCTTGCGATTGTTTCCAACATATTTATAGGATGATTTCTTTATTGCTTTGTATGTATCTCTCCCAGGGTATAAGCCCTGCTTTCACTCTATTTGATGTTGGTATAATTTGTGGAGGGGAAGGGAAAAAACAAACTGTTTAAATAGGGATACAGGTGGACCCATTACAACAATGAGATGTACAAGACGTTATGTTGAAAAATGAACTTTACAACTTTGGCGGGGTGGGGGGTTGGGAGGGTGGGGGGTGGTAGGAGGTGTGGGGATGGGGGGTGGAGAAGGGAAGGGATGGGAAGGGGAAACAAAGGAGGAGGCAACAATGCTTGATAAGAAATGTACTCACTATCTTGCCCATGTAATTGTAACCCCTTTGTATGGTATTTTCACAATAAAACAAAACAAAACAACAACAACAAAAACCCAAAAAATCCTTCCCCTGGCTGGGAAAAGATAGGAATGTGATGGCAGGTGATAAGGGTGGAAGCAGACATTTCACTTCCTGTGTTTTGCATTTAAAATGCAAAGTGAATGCATGACTTACACAATGCATAAGTGAAATTTGGAACTTGATATGCCCCTGGTTTTGTGATTGTCCTGTATGTGTGTAGAGAATCTTACTTTTTTAGTTTAGAAGATATTTTAATTCAGAATACTCTACCACAGTCTTAAATGTACTTTTCTGTTTCTTTCTGTGTGTTTGTTCACTAGGCCCTAGAGAGACACACCACCTTTGTTGTACCTTACAATGGAATTTAAAAAGTCACCTGATGGTGGATGGGGCTGGGTGATTGTGGCTGTCTCCTTCTTCACTCAGTTCCTGTGTTATGGCTCCCCACTGGCTGTTGGAGTGTTGTATGTAGAATGGTTGGATGCCTTTGGTGAAGGGAAAGGAAAAACAGCTTGGGTCGGATCTCTGGCAAGTGGAGTTGGATTGCTTGCAAGTAAGTGGAAAAATTTATGTCTATTCATATTCATCTATTATTTAATTACATTTGCTTCATCATTAAACATTGTACAAGACTGAGAAAGCTTTAAACAATTTAAGAACAGTATATATTTTCCTGATGTCATTGGGATTACAGCACCACTGTCTTACTGCAATAAATTGGTATGAAAGAATAGAAATTCTGTAATTGTAGTCAATCATTTTGTTCATTCATTTCTTTTTTTTCTCAGATATTTTTATTAGCATCATGAGTTGCTATCATGTCTGGTTATCATCCTGACACGATATAATGTACCTTAATCAAACTCACTCCCTTTGTCTTTCTCTCTTATCCTTACCAAATCAATCTCATTAAACTTCATTATTTCATTTTCACACATGTACATGGAGCATTTGGGCCTATCTATGCTCCTTACTCTTTCTATTGCTCCCTCCCCCCACAAGTACTCACAGTCCAGACAAGACCTGGCTTACAGTCCTTTGATTAATTAAGTGTATATTGTCCAGTTTTCACTGTGGTATTTCAAACATGCAAATTTTGTATTTAATTATATTGACTGCTTCTCAACTTCTCATGTTCCTCATTCCCTACTGCTTCTATTATTCAATAGCAATCAGTGAGTTCCATTTTGTTGTCAGTATTTATGGATATGATATATTTCTGTGTTTTTCACCCTCTATCATTCTTTTCTCCTCTGCTTCCAAATTCCTCAGATAGTCTCACAGTTACAAACATGTTCTATATGTGTGTGTGTGTATATCTATGATCCTGTGTGAGTTGACATATGCATTTATTTTCAGGTCTAGCATTTATTCATGTACATGTACTTACTACTATGTACCAGGTACTATGTAAGATGCTAGACATGAAAAGATGAATTGAAAGCATATGGTTCCTTCTCTTAAGGGGCGCACTGCCTAGTGAGGAATATATATTCATGAACTCAAACAAGTGAGGGAGATGAAGGTAGTGTGGCAGGTATGTCCAAGATATGTGAGTATATAAAGGACTGGATGATGCCCCCCCCGCCCCCCCCCCCCCAGAGTCCTGTGAGCTCTTGATGACTCTTCTGATCCAACTATACTGGGTTCAAATCACATGCCCTGCTTTTACGGCTTCATTGGAAAAATATGATCTAAAAAGTCATAGTCCTGTCTTACAAAGATAGTACTATTAAGGTTTAACCTACAGAATTATGTGTAAGAGATATGTGTTTTGGTTTGAGTGTCTTCACAAATAACAATTTGCTAAATGGTTACATATGACACAATGGTGATCTATCATTTTTAGAGAGAACAGCAGAAGATTTTTCATTCCTGTTACCATTATATGTGACTTCAATTTTTGGAGCCATTGTGTTAATTCTATAGTAATATTTAGGTTTCATCTCTAACTTACTTGGTTTGATTTCAGTGCTGATGGGAGCTGTAGACCCAGATTCTCATCCTGTGTGCTGTGAACTTGTCTTGACTCCTTGAGCAAATCATAATTACTATTCTTTTGTTGTTTTGAGTTCTTTTGGCAGTGCTGAGGATCAAACCCAGGGCCCTATACATGCTGGATTAATGCTCTTTTATTGGGAGGGGGTCTGGTCGTGGGGCCTGAACTCTGGGCCTGGTCGCTGTCCCTCAGCTCTTCAGCTCAAGGCTAGCACTCTACCACTTGAGCCACAGTGCCACTTCCAGCTTTTTTCTTATGTGGTGCTGAGGAATTGAACTCCAGGGCCTGGAGCATGCAAGGCAAGTGCTCTACCACTGAGCCACCTTCCCAGCCCTGGACGAATGCTCTATTACTCAGCTATAGCCCCAGTCCTTGCTTTTTGAGACAGGGTCTCACCATGTAGTCCCGCCTGGCCTCAACCTCCTGATTACTGGATTACAAGCATGAGTTACCATATTCACCTAGTGGAGAAAATAGGAATATCAAATGTGGTTTTTCTAAGGGTTTTCTGCTTAAAACAAAGTACAATAGCATTCTTCTTTTAAATATAATATTTCTTGGATATTTAAATAAAAAATAATTGCATCTAGTTCTTGTACTGTTTTGTCAAATTAAAAACAAGACACACAGGACATGAAAAACAATGCCAGAGCAGCTGGCCATGCCAAATAAGAGAACTAAGCATAACTAAACGAATGAAACAACAGTGCTATATTGCCCAAGATTTATTTGAGACAGTTTTTTAAACTAGGGATTGTTTACAAAGCTCTCAAAGTACAAGTAAATGTTAATTTGATATGTCTGTAAAGGAACTAAAAGTACACTTCTGCTTTCTAGAAACCAACCCATAGAGAGGAATTTTTGTGTGTGTATGTGTGCCAGTCCTTGGGCTTCAGCTAAAAGCGTGGGTATTATCACTGAGTCTTTTTTTTTTTTTTGCTCAAAGCTATAGCTTTACCCTTTGAGCTACAGCTCCATTTATAGCTTTTTTTTTTTTTTTTGATGATGGTGAATTGAAGATAAGAGTTGCATGGACTTTCTTGCCCAGGCTGGCTTTGAACTATGATCCTTTTAGCTAAGATTACAGACCTGGGCCATTAGTGCCTGGCTGTGGAGAGGAATTTTGGAAACATTTCTAACTCACCATTTCTGTTAGCATAGACTTAAATAGAAATGCAATTCCCCTCCCTCCCCACAAGGGCCAAAGATATTGAAATGATGTCTCACTTTGTATATCCTTAGGGAACAAGACTTCATCTGTCTATCAAGTAGTTGATATCAGGGTTAAAGGTAGTGGGGAATGAGAAATTTGTGTCAGAGCTGGGGCTGACCATCCCTTAGAAATTGACCTGTAGCTCTATACTTTTGTCACATTTCTAGGTGGGCAATCATGTCTTGAAGGCCAGGGGAAGCCACCTTCCTTTTTAAGCAGGATTGGTTACAAAATTTGTAGGACAAGTGCAAAACAAAATGCAAGATCCCTAAAAAAATTAAGACTTTCAAGATAGGGATAGCAGAGCATTAAACCAAGAGTGAGAGCCTTCTAAGATCTGGTCCCTGTACAACTACTTAGATCACAAATCCAAGGAAGAAAAAAAAGGAGGGAGAGAGAGAAAGAGAGAGGGAAGGAAGGAAGGAAAGAAGGAAGAGAGAAAAAGAGAGAAAGAAAGAGAGAAAAGGAAAGAAAGAAAGAAAGAGAAAAGAAAGAAAGAAGGAAGAAAGGAAGGAAGGAAGGAAGGAAAGAAGGAAGGAAAGGAAGGAAGGAAGGAAGGAAAGAAGGAAGGAAGGAAGAAAGAAAGAAAGATGGTTTGTAGGGGCTAGAGAGATGGCAAATCATACCAAAATTTAGGAGAGAATAAGTACTCCAAAGAGCTTGTAGTGAAGTCAGGCTAAATCAAGTCCTAGTTCAGCCACAATTTAGCTAGATGATCTCATGCAAGTTGCTTAACTTTTCTAGGTCTGATATCATCTACTAGTCTGAAGAGGACCTTGGATCTGGTCAAAGAGCTAAGACTTGTAGGAGAGCATGGGTACTTGCACGCACATACACACTTCAGACACTGAGTTCAGTGGTAAACGTAACTGACTCTACTGGACATACTCAATGCTGGTCTTCTTTATTTATTTGTACTTATAAATTAGAAGTTATCTTGAATATTGTGGTTGTATTGTATTAGCAAGCAGCATATAAACAGTATGTGAGCCACTCTGATCATCCACTTTCAAGACAACTCTGTTCTGGAGAAACAAGATCAATAATACTGTTGACACCGGAGAAGACTGGGACAAGCTTAGAGATAGAGACCAGATGGAGACCTGTTCTTAGTGTTTCAGTTCTTATCAATGAGACAAAGAGTACCTGCTGCCACTGAGCAATACCTTCAGCATCAGGATTTTTTTTATTTTTTATTTTTTGTCAGTCATGGGGCCTGAACACAGGGCCTAGGCACTGTCCCTCAGCTCTTCAGCTCAAGGCTAGCACTCTACTACTTGAGCCACAGCGCCACTTGGGCTTTTTCTGCTTATATGGTGCTGAAGAATCGAACCCAAGGCCTCATGAATGCAAGGCAAGCACTCTACCACTGAACTACCTTCTCAGCCCAGTATCAGGATTTTATTTTTAACCCCTCCTAAAGTCTCAAAGAGATTTTTCATTGGAAACTGTCCCTGGTTTAAGCTTTTTATTTTTATTTATTTATTTTTTTTGTCGGTCATAGGACTTAAACTCTGGGCCTGAGCTCTGTCCCTCAGCTCTTCAGTTCAAGGTGAGTGCTCTACCACTTGACTCACAGTGCCACTTCAGGTTTTCTGGTAGTTTATTGGAGATAAGAGTCTCACAGACTTTCTGCCTGGGCTGGCTTTGAACCATGATCCTCCTCAGATCTCAGCCTCTGAGTAGCTAGAACTACAGGCATGAGCCACCAGTGCCTGGCTTAAGCTTTTTCTATTTAGATTTCACTTTTGCATGCTTTGGATAACTCTCAGACACATCATTTGTTAGTCAGTTATTATGATTAGGCTGGCAAAGGGCAGTCCTGAAAGGGAAGGGCTGGATGTGGTCTTAGTCTCTAAGCAGTTTAGGGGAAGAAGTTCATTAAAAGAAGGTCAGCAGAGGTTAACAAGGTTTTAGAGATCAAACTGCACCCTCGGGTGGGTATGTTTGCCGTCAATGGGCGTGCCTGAGAGCTGATGAACTATGGCCTCCCCATGCCATGTTAAGCGCTCCAAACCAGAGCTACCTCATTTTGTTTTTCCTTTGCAGATTTTATAGAGACCGTCTGAGGTGGGCCAGACAGGAGATTAGACTGCAGGTGGATAGGTAGAGAGGACAGTACATGCAGAATCCCTGAAAGCAAAGACCGAGAGCACACACTTCAGGTGATCCTTCTGGTGAAGACAGCTTTTATTCATCAACTTGAGTAGGCTGTGTTCCCTGGTTATGCAATCTAATCTAGGTATTGCTGTGAAGGTATTTCATAGATGTGAACAAGGTCAGCAACTAGTTAACTTTTAGAAAGGGAGTTTATCCTGGATAATCTGGTTGGATTTGACTCAATCTATTGTAAGGCTGTAAGAGAAGAAATGAGCTGTCTCAGAGGAAGAAATTCTATCCAAAACCTGCAGCTTCAGCTTTTACCTGAGAGTCCCAACTTGCCCTTCCTGATGGCCTGCCCTATAGACCTTGGACTTGCCTAGCTAGGCAGGTTTCACCTGGCCTGTCGCCTAAGCCAATTCCTTGCAATAAATCTCTTATATCTTTCCTGTTGATTTTGTTTCTCAGGAGAAATGGAAGGGAACTGAACTAGAGGACTACCTTGGTTTTGTGGTATTTTAAGATAAGCCTGAACACCTTTTCACTTCAAATTCAAAGACAAGGATAGGGTAACTTTTCAGACAACCTAGTAGCTGAAATAAAAGTAACTTCCTTCCTTCCTTCCTTCCTTCCTTCCTTCCTTTCTTTCTTTCTTTCTTTCTTTCTTTCTTTCTTTCTTTCTTTCTTTCTTTCTTTCTTTCTTTCTTTCTTTCTTTCTTTCTTTCTCTTTCTTTTCTTCTTTCTTTCCTTTCTTTTTTCTTTCTCTCTTTCTTTCTCTTTCCTTCCTTCCTTTCCTTCCTTCCTTCTTTCCTTTCTTTCTTTCTTTTTTCTCTTTCTTTCTCTTTCCTTCTTTCTTTCTTTTCTCTCTCTCTCTTTCTCTTTCCTTCTTTCTTTCTTTCTTTCCTTCTTTCTTTCTTTCCTTCCTTCCTTCCTTTCTTTCTCTCTTTCTTTCTTTTTTTCTCTCTTTTCTCTTTCTTTCTCTCTCTCTTTCTTTCTTTCTCTTTTTTCTCTCTCTTTCTCTTTCTTTCTTTCTTTCTCTCTCTCTCTCTCTTTCTTTCTTTCTTTCCTCCCTTCCTCCCTCCCTCCCTCTCTGTCTGTCTATCTTTCTTTCTGTCTTTTTTTTTTGTCATTCTGTAGTTTTGTAGTCAAGAGAGATTTAACTGTCTCTCCACCTCCATTCTTCTAGCCTTCAGATTGCTCATAAGAGCCAGTAAACTTATTCCCAGGTAAATAAGATGAGTTTGTATGGCCGACCTCATTGTTGAGGGTTGTGAGGGCCAGCGGAGCTGGGCTTGAGCATTACCTGAAGCACTGAATTGATCAGGGAGCACTGAATTGATGCCCATGGGATTCCATCACATTGGCCAGTTTCCTGTACACCAGGCAGTTCCAGGATTGTGAGAACAAGGGATATCTGGTTTTTCTATATCAATATCACCAAACCAAGCCATCAGCAAGAAACTCAATCACAATAAGGATTTGAGAGGGTGCCTTTTTCTTTCTCATATTAATGTACTTGAGATTCACGATGTCTGCTAACTCAAGACAGGAGGAACCGAACAGCCTGGAGGAGGCCACGCGATGGGATTCCTCCATGAGAACTGGGGGGATGGTGGTCTCAGGGGCTTGATTGCCTCGGTCAGGAAGTCCTCAGTTGTGGCAGGTCCACAACCTGGTTGCCATTGTGCCTATCATACCATACACCAATTTATGGCTTTAATGCAGCAGATGTTGCCAGGATTGTGATCTTGGATCTCTCTTAAACTTCCACTTCTGGCTTTTTCTGAGTAGTTTATTGGAGATCAGAGTCTTTCTTGCCCTGGCTGGCTTTGAACCATGATCCTCAGATCTCAGCATCCTGAGTAGCTAAAATTACAGGTGTGAGCCACCAGCACCCAGCTTTTCTTAAATGTTCGTGAGAAATGTAAAGAGGTTACGCTTTTCCCCCCCAAAGAGAATAATTTCTTTCTCAACGCTACCTGTTTTGAGATGTCCCCTTCAGGCTCATGTGCCAAGGGCTTGATCGACAACTGGTGGCACTGTTTGGGAAACTTTGACAGGTGAGGAATAGCTAGAGGGTAAAGGTCACAGCCTTTGAGAACTGGGAGGTTCTACCAATGAAGCACGAGTACTTGTATACTCTTGACTAAAGATGTCCCTTTCTTATGTAGGAAGGTCACCTTGTACAACTGAACTAACAGCTCAGGGAGGAACATACACTGAGTGGTAATGGACGAAGGGGGTACCTGTCTAACCAGCCAGATCAGCTGAAGCTATCTGGCTGATCAATGAAGTGACAAGTGTACCCAGATCATCCTCACATCCTGTAGGGCATGCTTTGAAAGGTGCCTTGTCCTTGGCCTCTTCCTTTCTCTACTTCCTGGGAACCATGGGAAACACACCCTTCTACCATGATGTTCTGTCTTGCCACAGGCCCAGTGTGTTTTGGTACTTTTGTCAAAAATCATGACTGTAGTGGACTGAGTATATTTTTGGGGCTCTTATTCAATTCTGTTGGTCTTTATGTCTGCTTTTGTGCCAATATCATGCTGTTTTTGTTACTATGGCTATATAGTACAATTTGAAATCCAGTATTGTGATACTTCCAGCATTTGCTCTTTGGCTTGAGGTTAAAGTTTGCAATTTGGGATCTTTTATGCTTTCCTATGAATTTTAGGATTGATTTTTTTTCTATTTCTGGAAAGAATGACGTTGGGACTTCGATGAACACTGCATTGTGTCTATAGATTGCTTTCAGTGGTGTAGCCATTTCCACAGTATTAATTATGTTACTCCATGAACATGGGAGGCATTTCTGTATTCTGTCTTCCTTTCATTTTTTTTCCCCTCAGATTTTATAACACTCGTGATAGAGGTCTTTCACCTTTTGGTCAAGCTTATAGATATGAGTACCTACATAGGAAAAAAACCCAAAACCCAGAGTGGTCTCAAATACATAGTCAATGTATGCCAAAACTCTTAGAAAACTAAGAACAAACCAAACCCCAAAGTAGCAGATGGAAAGAAATGATACAGCTTATAACAGAAATGAATAAAATGGAGACTAAAAAACTGCCAAGAATCAATGAAGCATAAAGTTTGTCCTCTGTGAAGATGAGTAAGATTAGGAAGTATGTTCAATGTGACCAAAAAGAGGAAGGAAGAGACCCAAATTAATACTTAGAAATTAAAAATAAGTATCTATGAAATCCAGAGAATCATGAAATAATGGAAAACCTACTCCAAATAAATTGGAAAATCAAGAAGTAATGAATACATTTCTAGATGAATTTGACCTGCCAAAATTGAATCAAATATGAAATACTTAAACTGATCTCTAACAACCAATGAGACAGAAACAATAATAAAGAATCTCTCAACAATGAAAAGCACAGGACTTGGTGAAAAGCACCGGACTTGGTGGAGTCAGTGCAAATCCTGCCAGACTTGTAAAGAAAAACTAAACACCAACACTCCTTAAACTTCTCCAGGAGAAGGGACGAGAAAGAACAGCTGGGTACTGTGGCATAAGTCTGTAATTCTAGTTACTGGGGAGAGGGAGATTAGGAGATCGTGGTTCTAAGTCACCCCTGGCAAAAAGAAGTTCCTAAGATTTCATTTCAATCATTGGCTGGGTGTAGTAGTGTATGTCTGACACAGGGAAGTTTCATTTCTTCACTAAATGATTTTGCCATCCCTTAATTTCCTTTCAAAAACTTGATAGTAATAATAGTGCCTACCTTCCATCAGTACAGTAAAAGTAAAACAAAGTGAGGCTGGGCATGTGGCTCAGGCCTGTAATCTTAACAACCTAGGCACTTGAGAGCTGAGGATTTTGGTTCAAAACCAATCCAGGCCGTAAAGTCTGTGAGACTTATCTTCAATTAACCACCAAAAAGCTAGAAGTAGAACTGTGGCTCAAGTGGTACAGTGCTAGCTTTGAGCAAAAAAAATGCTCAAGGACAATTCCCAGGCCCTGAGTTTGAGCCCTATGAAAAGCAACTTTAAAATAAATAAGATTATACATATGAAGTCCTTGCATACTATCTAACACATAGTAAATACTCAGATTTGCTCATGTTTATTTTCTCATGATGTTTTGGTAGACATATAATTTTAAAAGTACAATGGATGGTTCATGAGATTGTGGGGAAAGATATTGAATATTCTATTTATTCAATTCCTTTTTAGGTCCGGTCTGTAGTGTCTGTGTCTCATCCTTCGGAGCAAGACCTGTTACAATCTTCAGTGGCTTCATGGTGGCTGGAGGCTTGATGCTGAGCAGTTTTGCCCCTAATATCTACTTCCTGTTCTTTTCCTATGGCATTGTTGTAGGTAAGGAACTTGGTCACTTTAACTTTTCTATTCATTTTACATCAACCTTATTTTTCAGTTACCATAAGAAGTGGAAATGATCTGTCATAACTGACTTTGCTAAAAAGTGTTGCTTTAGTATTAGGCCTGCCTGAATTTGAATATTTGAAATGTAAGCACATTTTAACAGTCAACACTAATTCTCCTTCAAGGCAACAGGAAGTGTTTTTATCTCAGCACTTGGCTCTTCAAAACACAGTAAAGGAAAATGAGAGAGGAGAAACAAAACCTAAATAATCATGGACAACTGTCACTTTTCATAGAAAGTGGCTCCGCAGGAGGTGGTGCCACACTTACCTAGCAAGCAAGCAGTAGGCCTTGAGTTCAGACTCCAGTACCTCTACACACACACACACACACACACACACACACACACACACACACACACACACACACACACACACACGAAGTGACTCTTTTCTTACTAGGCAATCAAGCAAGCACTAGGCCTTGAGTTCAGACTCCACTACCTCTACACACACACACACACACACACACACACACACACACACACACACACACACAAAGTGACTCTTTTCCTACGAGGCAATCAAGCGGCACTCTGTTGAGCCATTTGTATTCACAAATAGCTTTTTGAGTTGCCAGGGCCCAGTCAAAAGTTATAGAAGTAAAATGTAGAATTTAGCCAAACATTCTGATACATGTCTCTAATGATACTTCTTTAGAATCTGGGAGGAAAATAGATGGTTCCAGGACAGCCTGGGCTACAAATCAAGAACCTGTCTTTAAAAAAAATGCAGATTTTAAAGCACTTACTATTATTGCTAAAGATAAAGTATACGCCCAGGTTCACATCTGACTCACAATCTATAATCCTAGTTCCTTGGGAGACTGAGATCTGTGAGTCAATGTTCAAATCCAGCCTGGAAAGACAAATCTGACACTCTTAGATCCAGTTAACAAGCAAAAAAGCCAGAACCTGAAGGCATAACTTGTATGATATAGTGCCAGCCACCATCTCTTTAAGTTAAAGGGTCAGAAAACCAAGCTGAAGCCATTGCTGGTGGCTCACGCCTATAATCCTAGCTACTCAGGAGGCTGAGATATGAGGATCATGGTTCAAAGCCAGCTGGGGCAGAAAAGTTCTCAGTCTCCTAATCTCCAGTTAACCCCTCAAAAACCAGAAGTGTAGCTGTGGCTCAAAGCCCTCACCTTGAGCAAAAGATCTCAGGGACACCACCTAGGCCCTGAGTTCAAGCCCCACAACTGACAAAAGAAACAAAAACAAAAAACCTCTTCCCCCTCAAATCCCAAGCTCTTGTCTGTTAATTTCTGAATCCCAGAGACTAGGACAAAGCTGTTAGGTAGTGTACTGGATTTCAGGTTAGATGTTGGCTGTGTGATCTTTAACAAACTTATGAATGGCTCTTTTTCCTCTAGGAAGATAGGCTGTGAATTCCACTGTATAGGGATCTTGATAGAGACTAAATACAAGGAAGCAAAAATAAAAGTAAATAAAACAGTTGAGTTTCAATTAACTTTTTAAAAAAGCTCTCACACTAGAAAATACATTATTATTCCTTAGTATCAAATTGTTAACAGTATTCTGACAGTTCTTCATGGTTTTCTTTTCATTTTTTTGAAATTCATAACTTTCATTTCTTTCCTTTAAAAAATTTAGAACTTTCATTTCTTGATCATGTTAATAACTAATTTTTAAAAAATGATCTTTAAGTAGTTGTACAAAGAAGTTGATATTCAACAAAGCAGCTTATAAATACAATGCACCTTGATCAGTGTCATCCCTTTTATCATTCTCTCAAACTCCTCGCAATCCCAACCTTCCCTCGATTCATTTTAATTTTGTAGAATATGCAGTGAATTTTATAACTACACTCTCTCCTTCTTCTCTTCATTTGTCTACTTCCCTCCCCTTGATCCCAATCCCCCTTTCAAGTACCAGTTTCCTAGTATTTATTTTGTTGGGTTCTCAGTTAGCCTTTCTAAGGACCTAGGCTGTTTTGAGTTCTCTTCTGAATCTACCAGAATTCGGTTAATACCACTTATCTACACTTGAATAGCACCTTGAAATGTTTACTTATATATTTATAGATTAATTCTAGGTTCCACTGGTAAGCTAAAGCATGCATCCTTTGTCACCCTGGGCCTGACTTATTTCCATAAGCTCATGGTATGGGGCTCAGAATATTCATCAGATAAATACATGGGATAAAAATGGATGACATGTCCATCTTTTTCCCATCTGAAGCTGAGTAGTGAGTTAAAAAATCATTGACAAGAAATACTGCACCATCAAAATTTACCTCCTTGCTTAGCATGACTTCCTTAGATAGAAACAAGAAAGATTTGGTCTAATGGTAACCTCCACCGATCACTAATTCCAGACCGAATCTTATTCTTACATATGTGTGGGTGTGTGTGCAAGCGCATGTGTGCATAAAACGCATGCCCTGATATTGAAGGTTGAACTCGGGGCTTGCAGTTTCACTCATCTTTTGCACTCATGGCTGATGGTCAGTGGAGTCATTCTTCTTGTCCAGTTTTTCTGCTAGTTAATTGGACAGAGTCTCAAGGGTATTTCTGCTTGTGCTGGCTTCAAACTGTGATCCTAACCCATATTTGTTCTTTTCTTCCAATGTTTCTTACTTTTGTTTTGAACTCGGGAAGACTCAAAACTCATGATCATTCTGCCTTCTCTTCCCAAATGCTAGGATTATAAGTATACACTACCATCATTGGCTTCAAAGCTCTTTCTAACCTCTTAGTTCAGACTCCAGCTGTGAAAGAGGTTCTGTTGAATCAGAAATATTTGCATTAACATATTAACAAAATAGCAGAAATGAAGTTAAACCTATATGGATGCTTAATTGCCATCTAAACTGTCAAAATAACACTAAAGCCTAATACTTGGCCCAATTCTGTTTTATCACTTAACTGAACTTTCAAAAAATACCATCTTGAAAATGTGTTAGATTGTTTACAGCTTTATAGCTCAAGTAAAATGATGGTGTGCTGGTTTTCAAGTGACTGTGAACCATGCAGCTAAATATGGTAGCTCAAGCTTTAATTTTCTCCATAACTTTTCTCAGTCAGGAGGAGTGCAGTGTAAGACAAGATGATGCGGGAAGTAGAAATGGAACAGGAAGTGTGTTCTCATTGAATTGCTCAAGCCCTTTTGAAAATTGCTTCTTTCTGTATTTCTGAGAAATGCAACACCCATCAATTCCTTGCATTCTCTCTTTGTCATCATCTATTATTTCTTAACTATTCAATTATCATTTTATTAACATTCATTCCTTGCTTTTCTAGAAAAATCCAGTTTCTCTTCCTTCATTTTTTTCCTATCTGTTTAAATAGATTGAAATGGGGAGGGAGGGTGGACAAAACCCATATTCATAAACATTCAATGATGGCAAAGGCAGTATGTCATGTAGTCTCACTATGTATGTATGGCTTGAAACTCCAGATCCTGTAGCTTCAGCTTCCCAAGGGATGGCATTAAAGGCATGTATCACCGCACCTAGCTAGGAACCACGACTTTCTAATCTAATCTGAGGCTATTTCTACACAATGCCACAATAATCAGGTGAAAAATCACAGCAATACAATGGCTATCTTTAAAACGTATTGTATTCCAGGCATAGATACTGAATCTTTCCATTTTTGAATGTCTTTTATTTCTTACAGGTACATTGTGGGATTCTAAATGACTTTCTTAAAAATTCTGCAGCTGATTCCTTAGTTGTAGGATAGACTTGTAAATGAATACCTGGTAATTCTGTGACATGGGTGCTGCCCAGAGCTGGTGTACTGTGTCTGTGTGGGGGGAAGATTTTCAGGTACTTGTCTGAGTGGAGTCTTGAAGAACAGGTAGGATGTGGCCAGGTAGATACTGGTGGCAGGAGGAATGAGGATGGCATTAGGAGGATGTGCCATATCTCAGACACTCTCTAGAATATGCTGCAATGGCTAACAGTAACATTTTCATATGTATTTCTTAAGGAATGCACCAGTTACCTGGGGCTTGTGAACATACCAGAGTGGAGTATAATGGAGGCTGGATGAGACATGGTGTGATTCTATGTGGTCCTTATTAAAGACACATGATGTGGGAAGCATCATAGGGCAGCCAGCCTAGCTTGGTGGGGGAATATGGGAGGTTGAGACCACTTATTAGGTTGCCAGCATTCAAATTAGAAAAGTTGTGGTGATAAACTGAGGCAGTGGTGATGCAGACAGAGAGAGAAAGATGAAGGTTGATAATTTAGGCAGTAGGTGTGATTTAGCTTGATGTCTGGCTTGATGTGTGAACTTAAGTAACAATCAGAGAGAGAGTCTCCAAAGACCAATTGAGGTTGGTGGGAATAGCATGTAGAATTTGTAAGTGAAACTAGGTGTGGGTGGCTCATGAGTGTAATCCTAGCTCCTCCAGGGGTTGAGATATGGAGGATTATGGTTTGAAGCCCAGCCTGGGGAAGAAAAATCCAAGAGCCTTCATCTCCAATTAAACAACGAAGTACTGGGCTACAGATGTGACTTAAGTTGTAGAGCACCAGTCATGAGCAAGAAAGCTGAACAAAGGTGTAAAACCTGCGTTTAAGTCCCAGTACCAGCGCGTGCGCACACACACACACACACACACACACACACACACACACACACACACACACACACAAATCAAAAACCAAAAACCAAAAACCAGAAAAGAAAATCTGTTGAAGCAAGGGCAAATTTTTACAGTACAATGAGGAGTATTATATAAGGTGTTTTGAAATAATGGTCCTTGACTACAAAGATGAATTACAAAGGTGATGTCAGTCCAAGATTAAAACACTGCTAGTCTGATGTCCTTGTGAAGTATTTGCTGCATAAGGTTGTGGTGGCCTTTGTGAAAAATTGTGGTTCTCGCATGCTTTTGAAAGAACGGTTACAAGCCCGTGTGTATGAGACCCACCCTTTGTGAACGCTTCAATTTATTTATTTAGGTTTTGGTTAGGGATTGACCAAAGTGATGCCATTTGGATTCTGATGGCTTCTGCAGAGGTGAGGAAAAATGGCCTAGAGATTTGTGGTCTCACCTAGGCCTGTAAAAGGGCACATAGAATGTGGAAGAGATATGATGGAGCCTGTGTTGCTTGAGAAACAGAAACGAGAGGATTACACATTTGCTATATATTGCATATTTGACATATCTACATATATTTAACTTTTAACTATTTAAATAAAGGGAAATGATTATGTTTTAGTCATCCAAATATTCAGAAGTATGGATATTTAATTTTAAAATTATTATGCTTATACTGGAGGATGGTGTTCAGAAATTTTTAACTGTTAGATTATGATCAAAACTGACTGGAGACCAAGGAATGCTTTTAGGAAGTAGTTTTGAAATATTTACTGGGGGCAAGGGGTCCTTTACTTTCTTAGTTAGAGCCTCAAGAGGCTTTTGAATATTTGGATTGTACTTCTGTTTAATCTGTTAATTTTAATGTATTAAAATAAAATTTAAAAATTAAATTGGATAGTTTTAGAATTTAATTGTAACATCATAAATTATTTTTTGAAGAATATTGTCTCTTGAAGTACTTTGAAAATATTGACACATTTCCTTAGAAAAATAAGGAAAGTTACTTATACTAATATTATTAACTAGCTCATTACAAAAATCTTCATGTTTTAGGAGCTGTCAAATTTGTGGTAGTAGGTTTATTTTCTAAAATTCAATTTTTTTTTCTGGAAATCTTGTTTTATCATTTGTGACAATTTCTGTCAGCTCCTTTGTTAATTTTGCAGGAAAAGTCTGCCCAATTCTTCTGGCGAATAAATACTGTATCTGTCAGACATTGTCTTCAAATAAAGAAAAACTCAACAGGTTATATGAAAAAAAAGTGGCTATTTTATCTGGCTACTAAAATAGCTGCATAAATGCTTTTCCTTGCAGCAGTTTTTCTAATTCAAATAAAACATTTAAAACAGTTGATTTTACTGTCAATGAATGGTGATAAAGTTCATTAGGTATAAAGTTTGATACAAATACCTTGTTGTATGGTAAGGATTTTGCAATTTTATCCACTATCTCTTACATTATCAATGTAATATATATGGAATATATATTACATACATACATTTGTGTATATATGCACACATATACATATATGTACATATGTATACATATATATGTATATAATGGAAGAAACATTTTAATGTATTTCTGAAAATTATTTTAGCTCTGTAGCCCCCATGAGCAATCTCTGAAACTGGACTCAAATGAAGTCTTTACTCACTGCTGGTTTAAAATTATTCTGGTCTGAGCCACGCACTTGTGGCTCATGCCTAGAATTCTAGCTACTCGGAAGGCTGAGATCTGAGGGCCACCATTCAAAACAGTCCATGCAGAAAAGTTCATGAGATTCTTATTTGCAATTAACCACCAGAAAACCAGAAGTGGCACTGTAGCTCAAGTGGTAGAGTGCTAGCCTTGAGCAAAAGAGCTCAAAGACAGTGTCCAGGCCTTGAGTTTAAGCCCTAGGATCAATACCCCTACCCCCACCCCGCCAAAACAAAAAAAAAGAGTGCCCTACAGAAGTTACTTGATTATTCCTTTCTTTTCTTTCACATTGAGATCACATGTTCTGTTTTAATTCATGCTGTGTCTTTTTATGCGTAGGTCTCGGATGCGGTTTATTATACACTGCAACAGTGACTATTACGTGTCAGTATTTTGACAGCCGCCGAGGTCTTGCGCTTGGCCTGATTTCAACAGGTATGTTTTCAAAATCAGTACAATACTGTCATTATTCACCTTCTAAATGAAGTTAAAAGTTACTAGGCCTCAATACGTTCAATGAACCATTACCCATCAAGCAGAAAACGATTTTTACACTCCTAGAAGATTTGTTTTTAACCATAAATATTGGAAGTAGCTTTCAAAAAACTCTTAAGACATATAAATGAAAACCCTGCAGTATGGGATGTTCAGTGTAGCGGGGCTACTATACTGAAAGTCATTGCTCATACAAGCTTTGCTAAAAGAAGCAGGGAAACCATGAAGCCTATGTTTCTTTGGCTCTGACTTACTTCACTTAATGTAATTTTTTCCAAGTCTTTCCATTTCTTTATGAATGGTACAATATCATTCATTCTGATGTATGAATAGGATTCCATTATGTATAGATACTATATTTCCTTGATCTAATTGTCCACTCAGGGACATCTAATACCTTGGCTATAGTAAACAATGCTGCAGTGAACATAGTTGTGCTGGTGGCTCTAGTATGGCCTGGTTTGTGGTTTATTGGATAAATATCTACAAGTAGAATTGCTGGGTCATAGGGGAGCTCTATGTTTAGTTTTTTTTTTTTTTTTGTCGGTCGTGGGGCTTGAACTCTGGGCCTGGGGGCTGTCCCTCAGCTCTTCAGCTCAAGCCGAGCGCTCTACCACTTGAGCTACAGCGCCACTTCTCTATGTTTAGTTTTTTAAGGAACCTCCATACTGCATTCCAGAGCAGTTGGACAAGTTTACATTCCTACAACAGTGTAGTAGTGTTCCCTTTGGGCCACATCCCCACCAGCATTTGTGTTTTGTTTTTATTGTGAAAATACTGTACAGAGGGGTTACAATTACATGGGCAAGGTAATGAGTACATTTCTTATCAAGCATTGTTGCCTCCTCCTTTGTTTTCCCTTCCCATCCCTTCCCATCTCCCCCCAACCCAGCATTTGTTATTGTTGGTTTTCCTGACAATTGCTATACTAACTGAACTGCAGTGGAACTCTCAATGTTTGATTTGCATTCTTTTATGGCCAGAGATGTTGAACATTTCTTCATGTGTCTACTGGCCATTCTTTTTTCTTCCTCTGAGAAGTCTTTAAGTCTTTAACCCATTTATTGATTAAGTTGTTGGGTTTTTGAGGTTTTTTTGGGGGGAGGGTTAATCTAAACACACTGAATGATTTATATACATATACATATATATGCACACACACTAGGGCATAATGATTATATAGGACTCTAGTCCTTCACAAACTGAGGCCAAAGGAGGATATGCATAGGAGTGGTTGACAAAAGTTCAATAGCTATGCACAGGTGATCATATAAAATAATATTCTATGAAATGAACTCTAAGAAAAGGAAGCAAGCAACATTTTTTAGTTGCCATTGTTGCTGTTTTTGCTTTCTTTTCCTTTTGTCTTGTTTGTTTGTACTTGGAAGGGTAAGGTAGGGTACATAAAAGGTAAAACAAGGGGCTGGGAAGGTGGCTCAGTGGTAGAGTGCTTGCCTTGCATGCCTGAGGCCCTGGGTTCGATTCCTCAGCACCACATAAACAGAAAAAGCCGGAAGTGGTGCTGTGGCTCAAGCGGTAGAGTGCTCGCCTTGAGCTGAAGAGCTGAGGGACAGCGCCTAGGCCCAGAGTTCAGGTCCACGACCATCAAAAAAAAAAGGTAAAACAAGGATGAACAAATACAACAGCGAGACTCACTAGACACTATGTGGAAAATGAACTGAGTATCTTATGGGTGGAGATGGGAGGGAAAAATCAGGAGAGCGTGACATAAGGGGAGACTTGGTTAAAAAAAATTGTACTCATTACTCATTACCTGATTGATGTACCTACAGCCCTCTGTATATCAACTTTACAATAACAATAAAAAATGAAATAAAAAAGCAGTGAATGCAAGCCAGGAGTCACGGTGGCTCATGCGTGTAATCCCAGACTTTGGATGGCTGAAGCAGGAGTTAACCAATGCATGAGTATATCCCTTACTGTTTTAGGTTCCTTGAGCAGAGGTTGATATTCTCCCTCCCTGTAGTAGTATACAACCTATGGTTGCAGGGTTGTTTTTTTTAAGATTAATAAATAGTTTTACAATTTACAAATCCTACAAGGCAACCCTGAAATAACTCTCCATTGCTCTGGAAGAATTCCAACAACTTCCTTAGACTTTATCATAGGATGTGGCCTTAAGAGGGTCCTTTGCTCTGTCACACAATCAAAAGTGCTCAATAATTATCAGTTGATTATATTTAATGGTGTTTGACAACAGATGGACTGATCGATGAACAATGGGAAATGGTTTTCTCATTTTAAGGTCCAAATATTAAGAGCATTTTTAAATGTCAGACAGTGTGGCACCTTGTTAAAAACTTGTGCAAAGAATAATGAAGGATAAAAATGACAAATGGAGCTGAGCACCCAGTGGCTCATGATGGTAATCCTCGCTACTCAGGAGACTGAGGATCTGAGGATCACAGTTTGAAGCCAGCCCAGGCAGGAAAATCAGTGGAATTCTTATTTAAAAAAACAAAAGCTACCATTAAAAAAAAACAAAAAACACCCCAAATCTGCAAGTATAGCTATAACTCAAGTGATGGAACACTAGCCTTGAGCAAAAAAGCTAAAAGACAGTACCCAGGCCCTAAGTTCAAGCCATCAGTACTGGCACAAAAACAAAACAAAACAAAGACAAAGATGAAGACGAATGAATAAACCATGAGTGAATGTAGGTAGCACTGTAGTCTGTGAAGCCACCATCTATTAGCAATTATTTCATGTTTGGGTTTTTTTTGATGTTTTTAATACTAGAAAAATGTGCCACATTTACATTGAAAGAAGGATTAAATTTGTTGTATGACTTCTCAGTAGTCAGCAGAGACTGAGTAACCACCAGAAGATGGTATTTTAACTACCAGTAGTATATTAACATAGCCATCCATTAACATCTGCAGGCCAAGTTTTCCCCCCTTTGGGAATGAAGGAGTTAACTTGGAAAAATATTAAGAAGGAACAACAGATTCTCAGGAAAAAAAAAATGTTTCCTCACAACTGAAAGACACAGGGCCATTTGGTTATTGGCAAGAATTTTTAATGAGTTTTTATAGCAAGCATGTGAAATATATAATCACCTTGTTTAGACTTTTTAAAATAGATCTAGTTTTTCCTCTGATTGATACTTCCTCTCAATGATACTTAAATTTCAAAATAGTCAATTTTTTAAAAATATGCTATCAGAACCAATTGAAGACAGTACAAATGACATGGGTTGACATAACTCGGTATTCCAGTGTGTTTGGTGAGGTCAAAGCTGGAAGACAGAGTTATCCTGATATTTGTGTGCAGATCAGCATACTTTATAATGGAAATACTCTATCAAATTATTAATCCATTAAAAGTATGAAAAAATAGGAAAAATATAAAAAATATGAACTCAATCTTGTGATTCAGCAGTCAGTTCTAACTATCAAACCATTATAAATATTTAAAACTAAACTCTGTTATTCATCTCCAAAATGTAATATGAAAATTTGTATGGCCAAACGCAATAAATATGTATATATATATCATGGAGTCTGGTATATAATAAATGCAAAGCAAAAGTAATTGCACAATGATATTTGCTAAGAATATGGGTTCCTAGAGTCAGACTGTTTCAATAGAATGTGAATTCTACTTCTGATTACAGCTTTGTAATCTGTATCAAATTTCTCAAGCTTGCTAGGCATTGATACTTCATGTATATTGGGTATAATAATGGGTACAAGTCAATAGAATCATTACAAGGAATAACACGATTGTGCAAAACAATGTGTGTTACAGTACTAATTCTTTTCTTTTCTTTTTTTTTGCCAGTCCTGGGCTTGAACTCAGGGCCTGGGCACTGTTCCTCTGTTTCTTTTGCTCAAGGCTAGCACTCTACCACTTCTGGCTTTTTCTGTATATGTGGTACTGAGGAATCAAACCCAGGGCTTCTAGTGGTAGAGGCAAGCATTCTACCACTAAGCCACATTCCCAACCCTATATGGTGCTGAGGAATCGAACCCAGGGCCTCAGGCTTGCAAGGCAAGCGCTCTACCACTGAGCCACCTTCCCAGCCCCTCTACAGTGATAATTCTTAAAATGAGTATCCTATACGTCTTTTTCTTTTTTTTTTGGTCCATTGTGAGTCTTGAACTCTGGACCTGGGCGCTGTCCCTCAGCTCTTCAGCTCAACGTTAACACTCTACCCCTTGAGCCACAGGACCACTTCTGGCTTTTTCTGTTTATGTGGTGCTAAGGAACTGAACCCAGGGCCTCATGCATGCGAGGCAAGCACTTTACCACTGAACCACCTTCCCAGCCCCCTACATGTCTTATGATGACTATTGCTAATATACTTGTGATTTTAAATTGAAGGCGTATGTGAATGCAAGTATAATGAATCAGTTGGATTGCCATAGTATTATAGCTTGTGCTGAGAACCCTATATGAAAAGGAAGAGATTAAGACTAAATAGCTTCCATTTCCTTTCTAGGTTCAAGTGTTGGCCTTTTTATTTATGCTGCTCTGCAGAGGATGCTGATTGAGTTCTATGGGCTAGATGGATGCCTTCTGATTGTGGGTGCTTTAGCTTTAAATATATTAGCCTGTGGAAGTCTGATGAGACCACTTCAGACCTCTAGCTGTCCCTTACCTGACAAAACAGCAGCTATGGAAAATATACCAGATAAATACTCCATTTACAATGAAAAAGAAAAGAACTTGGAAGAAAACATAAACATTCTCGACAAGAACTATAGTAGTGAGGAAAAATGCAAGAATACTTTGACCAATGGTGACTGGAAACAGGAGATACTATTTTATAAAACCTCTTCATCCATGGCACACACAAAAGAGCCAGAAACATACAAAAAGAAAGTTGCAGAACAAACATATTTTTGCAAACAGTTTGCCAAGAGGAAGTGGCAATTATATAAAGTCTACTGTGGTGAAACTGTGTCTCTTTTTAAAAACAAAGTCTTCGCAGCCCTTTTCATAGCGATCTTTCTTTTTGACATTGGAGGCTTTCCACCTTCATTACTTATGGAAGACGTAGCAAGAAGTTCAAACGTGAAAGAAGAGGAATTTGTTATGCCTCTAATTTCCATCTTGGGAATTATGACAGCAGTTGGTAAACTCCTTTTAGGAATACTGGCAGACTTCAAGTGGATAAATACCTTATATCTTTATGTTGCTACTTTAATAATGATGGGCCTGGCCTTGTGTGCAATTCCATTTGCCAAAAGTTATGTCACCTTGGCTGTACTTTCTGGGATCATGGGCTTTCTGACTGGTAATTGGTCCATCTTCCCATATGTGACCACGAAGACTGTGGGAATTGAAAAATTGGCCCATGCCTATGGAATATTAATGTTCTTTGCTGGACTCGGGAATAGCCTTGGACCACCAATTGTTGGTAAGCTATTTATCTTAAAGTCAACTCAGTTAAACTGTTCTTAAGTATTGAACCTCCAGTTACAGATGTGATGTTTAAGAGCATAGATTGGCACAAAGGAAATCTGTCTGGAATATTTCAAGGTATTAATTTATGCAAGATCATTTTGATATCATTGAAAAAGCCAACTGACCTTTTTGTTCATTCTTACTTGGGAGAAAGTCAAAATGCCTGGGGTAATTTTCATGTGAATGTTTTTGGAAGATGCTCTTTCTCTAGAGCCAGTTCACCGGGTACTGTATACATATCCTGATCCTGAGTGCCTAAAAATGATGAAATCAGGGAGTGTGCTACTTCTATGAAACTCACTTTTTTCCTTATATCTTTTCAGGTTGGTTTTATGACTGGACCCAGACTTACGACATAGCATTTTATTTCAGTGGATTCTGTGTCCTGCTGGGAGGTTTTATTCTGCTTTTGACATCTCTTCCCTGTTGGGCCACATGCAACAAGCAACTCCCTAAGCCAAGCCCAACAACATTTTTGTACAAAGTCGCCTCTAATGTCTAGAGGAATATTGGAAGGCACTGTTTTATACCATAGAACAAAACATTCTCAAGCAAATTCTCTAGAGTCACGACTGTTTTCTTATAGCAAAATTTCTCTGTGGCTGATTCTAAATGAAAGACTTTAAAAAAAAAATCCTAATTTTTATGTACTGTAGGCATAGCCGCTATCCCTTAGATATTCCCCCCACCCCCCGCAAGAAATGAGACGATTCTGTTTTACTGTACTTCATCACTCTTTAACATTGTAAGATTTTGACTACCCTCGGATGACTTTATTCTGTGTACAGAAATAAGGATTTGCTGCTGACTCTGTAAGTGCCACTGCAAGGCTGAAACTCCGCCGGGTCTCTTCTGCTCTAAGACTGATGTAAGCCTCCCCATAGGCTAAATGGAAGAGCCCCTTGGGAGGAATCACTCTGTGTTAGACTCGTTCATCAGCAGGAGACCTCAAGCCCTGACATTTCCAGAAATAAGAGTGGTTATGAAAACATTCTTAAGGCTTGCAGTGGAGCAAACTGATCACTTTATATAAAGGCAGTTTAAATGGCCATCCTCAGTTTTCATTCTGCTTTTTGTCGTTCCATGAAGCACCCAAGTGTGTTTGGGGTACACGGAGCACAAACTGTTTCAATTCCTAAGGAGTTGGCCTAGATGTAGGCAGAACTCCAAACGGAGGAGTAGCCAGGCTGTTTTTCTTCCTGGTATGCCACTAGACCCTTGCTTACTTGTGCTTGTCAGCGGTCCCTCAGCTGATGTCTCCCAGAAGTGCTGATTTTACCCATTTCCAATTTGGAAATTCACTTTTTTTTTCAACCATTCCATTTGGCAAATGGGAAACTCCATTTGCTTTGGGCACAGTGGGGATGGATGAGGAGTCCTTGACTATCTTCTTGATGGAGCATGTATTTGCTACTGTCAGATTTTACTACTATCAAAATTTCTTTCAGGAGCAAAAGTAAAGAGTAAGTGGTGTGTGTGTGTGTGTGTGTGTGTGTGTGTGTGTGTGTGTGTGTGTGTGTGTGCATATGTATGTTTACGGGGAAAGCATAACCTCATGTAAGCTTAAGGATCATATCCTAGGAAGAGAATTATATTTACTAAATTGACAGATTTTTTTCCCTAGAGGAATGGGTTTTAAACTTTGATGTGTGTGTGTGTGTGTGTGTGTGTGTGTGTGTGTGTGTGTGTGTGTGTGTGTGTATCAGAGTTCTATGTATACTTAAAAATATATATATGTGGGTGCCTGGATTTAGAAGTTTCCAGCTAAAAAATGTAGGCTATAATCAAGGACCTATCAATCTGTGTGTGTCAGTATTGGGTTTAAACTCAGGGCCTCACACTAAGCAAAAAATGCTTAGCATTTTTGCTCAAGGCTGGTGCTCTACCACTTGAGCCATACCTCCAGTTCTACAGATCTATATTTTTAACAAGCTCAAAGTGATTCTGATAATATTGCCTAGGTTAAGAATGGCTATTATAGGCGTGGTAATAGAGGGACTTGGGTATAGCCCAGTGGCTTAGGACTTGCCTAACATGTGTGAGGTCCTGGGTTCACTTGCCATCCATGTGCACACATGCAAAAAATGGCAATAAAGAAACATTTATTAAAAAATAAACCATGTGGTTAGGTTTTTTTTTTTTAATATATAAACAGCTAAGTTCTCTTTAGGCAGGGACACCTTCCCATTGTGCCAAAATTATCTTTTCATTTCTTTTGAAATAAATCAGTTTTATACTACTCTGCTGCCTTTCTTCAAAGGCACCAGAAGCACTTTATTAGCATGAAGCCTCCCAACACCTGTGTGAAGAAATGAGTAGGACTTTCTCATGTGGAGAAGACCTGGAGCAGTTACCTTGCTCACGAATGCAGTAATGGGATTCCAAGGCACCTTGGATTTCTTCTCCATACTCCAGACTTCTGGAAATATTTCTGTACCTCATTCTTTAGTTACTGTCAAAGTTAGGAAATAAAATAAATGACATGTAAAAGAAAAAGTCTACTTGTTCTTTTTATGCCTCGAGAATCCGTTTACGTCAATATTATGTTTAAGATATTAAGTAACCTGAAAAAAAATGGAAGTTTTTGACATCATCACATTCATCCATTGTGATAATTGTCGAAGTGTATCTTTACTATGTCTATTAATATCACCAGATGTGTGCACTCTCTTGTCTAGGGAATGAGTTTTAAGTTCCAATAAAGTATTTTTGTTTGCGTTGTGTCAGTATGGTTGTTTCTCCTCTTTGATTTTAGTTTCAGTTACACTTGAATTGTAAGCATACATGTTCTGACTCTAGAATTTCATTATTGGATAAGACCTGTTCAAAAGGAAACTTGCTTAACTACTTTGACCATTTTCCCCCAAACCAATAAGTCAGACCTATAGTCTTCTAAGAGGAAAAGGGGACCGATTTTCTCCTTGCTGAGGTTCTTAATGATTTTTTTCCTTTAGATGGTATCTTCCTTCTCAGGAGGGGAAGATCAGGAAGATCAAGGTTCAAAACCAGCTTTGGAAAATCGTTATTGAGACTCCATCTCAACAAATTAGCTGGGTATTTGGGCATGGACTTGTCATTCCATAATAACTTGGAACATGAAGGTCTGAGGCTGGCCTAGACAAAAGCATAAAACTTTATCTGAAAATCAACTACAGGAAATATGGCTCAAAGTGGTAGAGTGCCTGTCTAGCAAGTGTGAGGCCCTAAGTTCAAAAACCACCAAACAGCAGCAAAAAAGAATGTGCAAGATGTTCCAAGCTTCTGGTTTATATCTCATAGTAACCCTGTGAGTTAGAGATTATGACTCTCAGTTTATAATACAAAGTATAATTGTCAAAATAGCATGATCACCACATTATAAAAGTACAAGCAATTTCCAGACACAAAATGAGAAAGATTTCTTTTTGTAGAAGTGAAGGAAAGCACTTTGATTTCCAACATGACTAAGGAATGATGCCTACTTAGGAGGGTTGCTTCAAATTAATTTTTTTCATGAAAAATTAGCTTTCATTATTGTGCAAATAATATTTTAGGATGTCCATTTTCCAAGAACTGAAACTACGCTTAATTAATTAAGATACATTAACATTGATTACAATGTAATCTTTCTTTTGCTACTCACAAGTATTTGTGGATGTTGGAAATGCCTTGAGCTGAGTCTCAGAAAAGTAAGGGATGAGTGTTTGCCAGGAACCCTCTCCTTGAGTGTGGTTGTACAACAGGTTTTGGGGGGCTTTCTCTGCCTCCTGCCTCTCTCCTCAAGCATCTCTGCATAGCCAGGTGGTGATCTAATTCTCTCTAGAGAATCCTGTCATCAACTTTTAAAGGCCCAGTGAGAACAATCCCCAAGGACCCGGAGGCCTCGTTTTGGGAGGTCAGAACTGAATGGTATGTGTTGGTGGGGAAGTTTCATGACCTCAAGTAACCTCAACTGCCACCAATCTGTATAAGATTATGAAGCATGAAGAATGTTCAAAAGAATGAAAGAGAGCTCTATTTTAAAGAACTCTCTCTCTCTACTTAGCAGTATTATATTGCACATAAAATACACAGTTTAAATACTAGCAGTGCCAGACAGTGTTTCCTCTGAATTATAATGTTGAGACTTTTTATTACATAGTTAGTTGTGTTTGAAAAATGCCAGTTAGAAAGATCCCACATTGAGTAAAGACTTAACCACAGTCAATTGAAATAATTAGACCTTGGTGAACACGTAGATCATATTCAGGGATATAAGACATTGTGCTATCACAACCTTCATGAATCTGTGTTTAGATCCTTTGTTCAGTCCCTGTGGCTGGGTGACTATGAGCATATTATTAAAGTCTCTGAAAGCCTCAGTTTCGTTTCCTCATTAATAAAACACACCATGGGGCTTTTGTGGGAATTATGTAACTGGCATGTGATAGATAGATGTCCAATAAATATTAGGTATTATTATCTTTTCTCTCATTATTCGCAGGAGGGTGGCTGAGGGGAGCAGTCAGCCTCCCTGGGCACAGGCGTTGGCAAGGATTTGTATTGCAGGGTTTCTCTGAGGAGAGTAATGCGGCTTCTGTGATTCCCAACTTGAAAGACTGTGCCAGCTAGCATCCTTCTCCACGCATGATCTTGTCAAGCTTCTTCATCCTAAGGCATTCATGAATCAGCACATTTTTCTAGACTTGCCACCCAGAAGCTCTGACTCAGAAGCAAACAAAGGCCCATTCTCCACAAATCTAATCGACGCCACTCTGTCAGTTGGATTGCGATGGAAGATCGGATTTGTTTTATTTTATTTTACATTTTCTTTTTCGCAAGAGCTGTATGCCAGCTGCTCTGAAGGTGGGCCTGGAATCAGACAGAAAACCTGAATGCTCTAATGTGTTTACTGAGCACTAATTGGCTTCAGTTGGGGGGCCTTTACTTTGCTGCCTTTCCAGGATGCCTTTGAGATTTCCTCTTGAGAGAATGCAATTTCTTGCCAAGTCTTCTGGGATTTCAGTTCCTAGCAGATCACAGCTGCATTAGTTGCTTTGTACTACATGCATTCCTGGTCCTACACTTTCCCTTGGCACAACACAGGAAAATAGGTTAGTTTTCTAGGTGCCATTCTCAAAACTTTTATAAAGCAACATGTTTCATAAAAGTAATCAACTAAGGTCAAAGTCCTGCTGTGAGTCACCTTAAAACTATGTAGACACAAGGCTATGCTCAGTTTTTATTCCTTTCAATGTTTTTGAAACAATAAGGTAAGTGATTATTTCCTCCAGGTTAGATGTGAAAATTGTGAACTATTTGCAGCTTTGATAGGGGGCATCAGTAACAGTGGCCCAAACCAAATAACCCCGGGACCCTAAACAACAAAGGAGAAAGATATTTTTTGGAAAAGTATGCCCTAGTTAATTTCCTGCATGAAAATTCTGTTTCTCACCAGAAACTCACTCCACTGAAGACACCTGTATTACATTGGAATAAAGGCAAAAAAGGCACCAGAGCCCAGGGGGAGGGAGCTGCTTTCCTTGACTGTTTCTTGTGGGCTTCATGTTATTCTAAATACTTCACTAGCTACATCTGAATAAGTGCCTTTGCAAGGCTGGGGCCTGACAAGAAACCACAAAGATGTCTTTTGAATGTTAAGGTGGTTGAGGTATGGCCCTCTGCTGGCAGATCTGGATAGTTCGTTCCTCTTTTCATCTACCAAACCTTGAAGGAGGCACTAAAATGTGGATAACAAAATGAGCAAGGCAAACTCCCTGTTCTCTTGGAGCATGTCAAAGCCTCAAAGCTGATCAGGAAAATCAAGAATGTGTGGTGTTGTAAACAAAACCCCAGCTCCTACCAGAAGTTTTGCATGTTGGGGTAAGCCTTCAGCAAAGTCCAGTGGAGGAAAGTCACTCATGCTGAGACTCATGTTAAGATTGCCTGAGAATGGATGTGATGGCCAAAAGACATTTATTCATTTGTATGAAGACCAGCACATCCAAGAACACTGGTCATTCTCTTGGTAGCCACCTTTTTGTTGTAGGTTCAACCGGAAATGAAAAAGTAACCAGAAGGGATTTGAGGCTCCTGGAATGGGGTCACGGTGGTTCATTAAGTA